TCCCGCCTCCTGTCCCCACCCGCCTGCCTGTCCCTGTCCCCCCGCCCATACCCCCACCCGCTCCTCACCGTCCTCCGACGCTCCCTCCCTCCCTCCTCTCCGCTCGCCCCGCCCGGCGGCTCCCGGCGGCCCCGGCGGCCGCGGGGGCCGGTCCTTTATGTCGCCATGTCCGGGGCCCCGGTGCGGGTGCTGCTGCTGGGGCCGGTGCCGTACGCGGAGGCGCTGCGGGTGCAGGAGCGCTGCGTGGCGGCGGCGCGGGCGGCGCGGGGTCCGACCCCCGGCCCCGGGACCCGGGCGGTGCGGGGCCCGGCCGCGCTCCCCGGTGACAGCGCGGTGCGGGGCGGTCCCGGCGCGGTGCCCGCGGAGAGCGTGGTGCTGAGCGAGCCGGCTCACCCCGTGTACACGTGGGGCTTGCGGGGCGCGCCGGACGCGGCGGCGGCGGCGGCGCTGCGGGCGCGGGGCGCGGGGCTGGTGGCGGCGCGGCGCGGCGGCCACATCACGTTCCACGGCCCCGGGCAGCTCCTCGCCTTCCCCGTGCTCGACCTGCGCCGCCGCCGCCTCCCGCTCCGCGGGTACGTGGCCGGGCTGGAGGCGCTGGTGGTGCGGCTCTGCCGCCGGCTCGGCCTGGGAGCCGCCCGCGCCCTCCCGCCGCCCTTCACCGGAGTGTGGATGGGCGACAGCAAGTTGTGTGCCATCGGTGAGCGGGGACGCGGGGCAGGGACCAGGGTGTGCACGTGTGCACCTCTGCTCTGCAGACAAGCTGAGAGATGGGGGTGTTCAGCCTGGAAACGAGAATGTTCCAGGGATAACTTAGAGCTCCTTCCAGTGCCTGAAAGGGCTTCAAGAGAGCAGGAGAGGGACTTTGAACAAGAGACTGGAGTGACAGGACAAGGGGGAATGGCTTCCCACTGCCAGAGGGCAGGATTAGATGGGATATTGGGAAGAAATATCTTCTGTGCCCAGTTCTGGGATATTGGGAGGAAAAAGCTGTATGCAGTTCTGGGCTCCTCAGTACAAGAAAGACAAGCTACTGGAGAGGGTGCAGTGGAAGCCATGAAGATGATTAAAGGACTAGAGCATCTCTCTTATGATGAGACTCGGGGATCTGGGCCTGGTTAGTTTGAAGAAGACAAGACTGAGGGATCAGGCCATACAGATATCTCCAAGAGGTATCAGAGGATGGTGGCAGGCACTGTTCGGTGGTGCCCAGTGACAGGATGAGGGGCAATAGCCATAAACTGAAACACAGCAAGTTCCACCTCCGCATGAGGAAAAACTTCTTCCCATGGAGAGTGGCAGAGCACTGGAACAGCCGCCAAGGGAAGGTGTCCTCACCTTGCACCCTGCACTTATTAGGCCATGGCTGGGGGCCTGCAGCCTGGTCCCCAGCCCTGCTCCCTTCCCTTGGCCCCCTCCACAGCCCCTCATCCTGCACCCCTTCCTGCAGCCCAGCACCCCCAGCTGGGCTCTGCCACCTGGGTTTGGGTTCCTGCTTGCCAGACCTCCTTTTGCAGCACAGCCCTGTGTCCAAGCCCATGGAAACTCCAGCAATGGGAGGTGCTGGGGGATGCACCCCATCTGTCTCAAATTTGGGGAGCCTGCCTCTAGGTTCGAGGTTTTCCCTGGCGTAATTGGGGAGCACAGCATGCAGAGGGGAGGATATTTATAGTGACCCGGGCCGTGTAGTCACTAAATATTTCACACTGGGACATCCCTGGCAATGGGTGCTGATGGGCGGGTGCTTTTGGCCCCTGCAGGTGTGCATTGTGGCAACCACATCACCTCTCATGGACTGGCACTGAACTGCTGCACCGACCTCACCTGGTTTGACCACATCGTCCCCTGTGGGCTGGAGGGGAAGGGTGTCACCTCGCTGAGCCACGAGCTAGGGCGGCATATCACCGTCGACCATGTCCTGGAGCCCTTCTTTGACTCCTTCCAGGAGGTATTTGACTGCACTTTGGACTTCTCAGAAGACCCTGGGAACTAGGACTGTCGTGGTGCCTTTGCCTGGTGTTTTGGCAGAGTCACGGCACAGCTGATGGACATCGTGACCGTTGCCTGGGGCTGGCTTTGTTGTGAGACGAGAGCTCTTGTGCCTTTGCCTGTAGACTGTGCCTGGACAAGTGGCACAGAGGTTTAGGCTGTTGCTTAAACATCCAAACGGCCCCCAGGACTCCATCCTTCAGCTGAGTCCTCCAAGGGCATCACATCCCTGTGTCACTTGCTGGGGAAATACCCAATAGGTGCTTTTGTGGTTTTTTTTCTGCTGCTCTCCCTGCAAAAATCCCAAAATGGGTGAACACTCATGTGCCCTTTGGATTAGAGGAGGAGAGACTGGTGGGTCGGGCATCCTTCCCTTGCTGATGGGTAAAAAGAGGCCGATTTTATATAAAGAGAGTTGCTGGGAACTTTTCCTGCCAATCCTTTGCTCGTTTATTTACCTCAAGACTTTATGAATAATGACCTTTCTCTCACGCTGATCCCAGAGAAATTCTCATCCTGGAGCCAGGGAGAGTGATGTGAATGCAGTGGGAAAAGCAGGAGGAGGAAGGAAAGGGGTTGGGATGCCCGAGGAGAGAAACCACAGCTGTCATGAACCCTGTGGGACCACGCAGAATCCCAGCTGGGTGATGGGGACCTGCTCCCACTGGGTCCGTGGTGCTGTAGGAGACATTACTGGGGTGTGTGTTGGCACTTCTTATATTGCTGTCCCAGCCATGGCATCATAAAGTGATTTTAATTAACTGGGATAAGAAAGTCTCCACACACTAACTAAAGTCTCCACACCCCACTCAGACAAGACCTGACTCCCACTCACAGCCCCTCACTGCTGCTCTGGACCTTCTTTCTTCCTCACAAGCCTTGGAGTTTCTCTGCCTCTGCCCTCAGGGTTTTGGGGGGACAAAGGGTGCAGCTGGGAGCAATGGGGCTGGAAACAGGGGAAAATCCCATTTCATCGAGCAGGCTCAGCTCTGGGAGGGAATGGCGAGCAGGGAAGAACATGCCCAGGCAGGCTCGGTGCCAGTGTCAGGGCTTGGGGACAGTGGAGACGGACGAGGAGGGACAGGAAAACGTGACCGGCAGCTTGTGCCGGGGGGGAAATGCAGAATCCAGCTCTCCCAGCCCCATAAGGTACCGGTATCTGGCTGGGGCGAGGGGGCTGTGGCAGGATCTGTAGGGTTGGGGACAGGTTGGTGGCCCGTGGCAGGACTGGGTGGCTGTGGCAGGTGGCTCTGCCCCGGGAAGGGGAGGAGACTGGCGGCACTCCCAGCCCAGCCGCATCCCTTTCCACCGCCCGCGATGCTCAGTCTGGCTCAGCCTGGCAGCAGCGCAGGCAGGGAGGGCACCCTGGGTGAGTGCAATCTCCCCTTCCTACTTCCTGGCCCCCATTCCCCTTCCTGGACCCACACCCTCCCTAGGGTGAGTCCCCCCATGCTGCACCCCATCTGCAGGTACCCTCCTGCAGGTCTTGCCCTAAATCTTTCAAGTTCAGCCTTCTCCTGCTTCAAACTTTTCTCCGAGTCAGAAAGGCAGCCAGATCTGAGCCCACTGTGGCTGCTCAGCCCCTTCCTCCTCCTCTTTGGTATTGGGGTCTCCTCCTGAGAGGTGCACGCTGAGTTTGGGGTGACCTTTTGTGGGGGGATCAGCTGCCTGTGCATGGAGTAGAGCTGCTGGTGCTCAGGAGCAAGAGGAAAAAGGGTGGATACCTGGAGGGTGACAGTGGTTTGTGGGGTCAGTGTGTGCCAAAGGATGGCACACGTGGGGGACTGTATCCTGGTGTCCCTTCCTGCCCCAGGCAAGGGAAGGTGCACAGAGGCACAGAGGGGGCACATGGAAGTCCAGGGGGTGCTAACAGAGGGGCACAATGTCCAAAGGGGAGGCAGGTCAGAGGGGGTCTGGGACCCCTACAAAAGGGGGTTTAGGGCAGTGACCCCTTGATACATGTCTACAGGAGTGGGTGGGGAGCTGTGCCAGCTCTGTACCCTGTAAGGGTACAGGATATGTGCCTGCCATCCCTACACATTCCCAGGGAAAGCAGACTTTGAACCCAACCATCCTGGCCCCCTGTGTCAGCATTGTCCTCAATGGACAGGAGAGGGGGTCAGGCAGCTGCCTCAGAGCCCCGGGAGCTTTATTCCCTCTGTAGAAGGAATGAAATTTAAAGACGGGGTTGCAAGGAATGCAAAGGGTTTGGACACCCCTGATTTGTGGCAGAGGAGGTGCTTTGGGGATCATTTTGGGGTCATTGTTGCGTCCAGCAGGACCATCATCCCGGGAGCTGCCCCATCACAAGGGTGGCCTGTTACGAGTTTCCCTGTCCTTCCCTGCAGCCTGGAGGAGGACATGGAAGAGAACAACCAGACGGAGACCTGGCACCAAAGCCTGCAGGCTGTGCTTAATGCCTTAAACCAGACACTGCACGGGGTCATCCTCTGCCCCTCTGACCGCTCTGCCACCACTGCTGCTGCCACACAGAACACCCGCGCCGGCCACCCTGGCCGGAACGACAATGCCTACATGTACATCCTCTTCGTCATGACGCTCTTCGCTGCCACGGTGGGCAGCCTCATCCTGGGCTACACCCGCTCCCGGAAAGTGGACAAGCGCAGTGACCCGTACCACGTCTACATCAAGAACAGGGTCTCCATGATCTGAGCCTGGCCCTAACGCCTTGTCCCCATGGAGCCAGTGGGTTTGGGGTCACATTGCTGCGCACATCCCACTGTCTGTGGGATGTGGCGGTGCTGCTGGCCCCAAATCTCCTGGGAACCCCCACTGCGGAGATGCTCAGCCCCAGTGTGAGCAGCACCAGGACATCCTCACCAAGATACAGCTCCCGGCTGGCAGGAGCTGGCAAATGCAACCCACAGGCATGTCCTGGTCATGCAGATCCACCGCGGCTGAGCCTCGTGGGGACAGAGGTGGTAAAGACAGCTTCTTTCCCACCTGGTGAGGCTGACAGAGGTCTTCCAGGATGAAAATTCCCTATTTTCTGATGCCTACTGGATCAGCCAACATTGACCTCCATGGGCTCCCAGCAGCTGAGTGACATGGGCTTTTCTGGTGCTGAAGCCCTGTAACTTTTGAGCTGGGCTAGGCCCTGTTCTTCTGGCAGGGAATTAAAGGAGGTGGTGGGTTCCAGGTGGAGTTGTGTTTGCTTCTTCTCCGAGCAGAGTCGCCGTTGGGGGCATTCCATAGGGCACCGCTCTGTGCCAGGGCCCGGGGATGCTGGAAGGGCTGAACTTGCTCCCTGTGTGCTGCCAAGGTGGATTCAAGGGCAATTCCTGGGTGATGTCACAGCCCCTATGATGGGAAAATTCCTGCAGGATGAAGCAAGCCCTACCACCCAAGGAGCTGCTTTGTCTTTGCTGCTGTCCGGAGAGCGTTGCTGGAGCCCTGGGCACTCTGTGAGTGTGGCCCGAGCCTGGCTGGAGTCGTGTGGCTCCACGCATCTCCAGGTCTCTCCGATCTCCGGACGGTGATGCTGGAGTTTTTCCTGCTTCCTTCCTGCTGTCAGCTGTAGCTTTGGCCTTTTGTACTGCGGGTCCCAAATGTGTTTTCCACGGGGTCAGGGCGCAGTGATGGACGGGAAAGGGATGTTCTTGGGTCCTGCTCAGCTCCTTGGCTTCGACTCTGCTATTAAGCTGGCTGGGTTTGGATCTGGCCTGTGGAGTGGCTGGTGTCCAGGACAGTGAATGTCCCTGTCCTTCAAAACAGGCTGTGGGGCAGCATTGGTGACCCAGTCTCCCACAGGTCTTAACCTGTTCATAATGGCATAATGAATGTCTTTAATTGCAGCTAGATTAGCTGGCCCATAGGGGCCTTTCCGCCGGCATTCCA